GACCCGAATTTCGGCAGCTGGACCTCAAGTTTTAAGAGATTCATATGATCTCAACGTCGGGTCCCATGCACGAAGTTTTTTCTCCGTGTGAGTATTAATATAAATTTCAACACAGTCAAACACAGTAGAGAACCAAGGAAATCACAGTAGAACAGAGAAAAAATACCGTCGAATAAATAAAGAAAACTAGTATCGAAGAAATTCTAATTATTTGGAAAGTAATTCGCTGGCGTAGGTAATCAATGCGTAGCTGCGTAGGAGAATGAGCGAGATTTATCATCAACTGACCGCTGGCCGGTAGGTACCTGGGTGGGCGAGCGACAATACGTAAGCGGTGGCATATGGTTCGATTGACAGAGGAGTGGGGAACGGTCAGACGTAGGGGAAAGGTTCAGGCTGAACCGTTCAGCACAGCGCAGCGTCAGTCACCGGGTGGGGAAGAGAGTCCGGGAGGGGACACTTCCCCTCGAGTGAAATAGAAAAAGGCAGAATCCTTCGAAGTTTATATTAATGATGATGATGATGATGATGATGATGACTCATACCATTTCAAGATTATATTTGGGAACTCATCGCAAATTCCACTTGAAATAGATTTTACGAGTAGGTATTTTTTACCCGTCATATTTCAATGCAGCCCATCGCTGGTATTGTGCGCTCGTCTAATATATAGGTTATATCTATTGGTTATGTCTATGACCGAACCTAACATCTACAATATATCACTGATTATAACTTATCGTTAAGTTGTAGGGACTCTGATTTTTTATACACTGAAATAATGACATTGATATCTTTTTAAATTCTAAAAATCATTCACACGGATGTAAAACACAAAAGAAGCAGTAAAATATGTAATAATATACTAAAATTTTACGTAATGTTTTCGTTAAAATTTACACAAATAAAATGATAAAAAACCTAAAAAGGGGTAGGTGGCATTTTTACGTAAGTAAGGGCAGAAGGGGTTAACTTGGAAACTTGAACCGTTTTTGAAGGGGTTTCTCTATGAACTTTACGAGTTTTCAATTCTCTTCAATAGTCAATGCTAGTAGAGTTGGGATTCCAATGTTAGCAAATTCCCCCTCGCAAATTGCATATTAATCAAGAGAATCTTGGGCACTTCAAATTGAACTTTCAACTGATTTTTTCTCAGGCTCCATGCAATAATCGGAGCAAATTTTGGATAAAAACTACACACGCACATTTCTGTGAAATAAATTAACAGTTGGAGATTTGAACAATTTTTGAAGGGGTTTCTCTATGCACTTAACGAGTTTTTAATTTTTCCAACAGTCAATGCTATTAGAGTTGGGATTTCAATGTTGCCAAATTCCCCCTCGCAAATTGCATATCAATCAAGAGAATCTTGGGCACTTCTAACTAAAAAACTCTCTGATTCTTCCTCAGATTCCATGAAAAAATCAGAAGAAATTTGGATAAAAATGGCAAACGCACGTTTCTGCGAAATATATTAGAAGTTTGAGTCAATTTAGCAACCTTGGAATGGAGTTACGTTCTTTCGTCTGGGAGACGACAATTTACACACTCATACAAGTACACAGCGCCAAAGCGGCATCACTTCTTTTCCATATTTTTAGATACGAGTGCCAGAAGCGGATCCAGCAATTTGGCAACACCGGATTTCCTGCTTTTTAAACCTACGTGGAATAATCGATTTTGGTTACACCACCGGGCCCCACCAAGAATCGATACATTCCCATAGATTCAAAGGACAGAAAACGATGTTATATCAGAGAATGTTGCTAATAGAGAATAGAGAACTGCTTTTTTGCAGGTGTCTGAAATTTGATGAATTTCGTGTTTAAGTGGAAACTACCAAGTGAACTGAACACGAGGATACTCTTGGTTCATGAATTGAGCAATTATTGGAGAATATATGACAAAATGATGTAATATGCTAAAATACACGTGTTTAAATGGGAAATGCCGCCAGATGACGTCACTAAGCGGTGCATTTTCTCACTTTTAAATCTATTTTTACACTGTTTCGCATATCAGAAAAAAATTATAAAAAATACTGTGCAATCAACTCTTTAACTCTTAGATGACGAACCGGGTCTACGAGGCCCGGCGGCTTCTTATTTTTCGCGCCACGGCGCACAGTGGATCGAGTCAATTAGAGAGGTTGGACATGAAATTTTTGATTAAAACTGCACATTTTGATGTTAATTTGGCCACATTTTAAATTTCAAGGGGTGCTTAAAGAAGAAAATTTTACGAGAAAACCAATGAAACCACTTTAAGAACCTCACAGTTTTGTATAAACGGAATTATAAGCGTTTAAAGTTTCCAAATCTTGTCCGACTTTTCCTATTGACTCGATCCACTGTGCGGCGGCTGTAATTGTCCTTCACAATTATTAATAGCTCTACAAAAACCTTCAAAAACATAATTCTTGAAAACAAAATTTCTTTGAAATTTTTTTTTACGCACAGCAATTTCTTTTTTCATGTCTACCCCTACAATGACTAACCCGGGCCTACGAAGCCCGTATTGAGATTATGTAGTTTTTTGATAGCTGCGATGCTTTTTTCTCTGTTTTTTGAAGAATTTTATGATTTTCATACTTCGTCTTCTATAACCAAGGTCCCAAATTCTCTCTCCACCCATACACTGCCCCCTCCTCTCCCTCTAAATGACTTTCAGATGAAGCGATAAAAAATTTGCATACAAATTCTCGATTTGCTGGATCCGTGAATGTCGATAGCGCTCCGTCTTTACATCTCTGGTCCATACACGGATAAAAAAACTTCGTGCGTGGGACCCGAAGTTGAGGTCATATGGATCTCTGAAGTTTTCGGATCACGTATCTGAAAACTTGAGGTCCAGCTGCCGAAGATCGGGTCAGACATCTGAAGTACTTCGATATATTATACCGAGGGGTTCGGGCCACACATCTGAAGCACTCCGATACATACCGAAGAGCCTCGATGTCTGACCCGAACCTCGGCAGCTCGACCTCAAGTTTTCGGATGCGTGATCAGAAAACTTCAGAGATCCATATGACCTCAACTTCGGGTCCCATGCACAAAGTTTTTTCTCCGTGTACGTCGAAAACATTCGAAAACCGGGACTGAAAATAGCATAGAGTACATAGAGTCGTAATGTATGTGGGAGAGCTGGCGCCACTTTTAAGCATTTTCCATGTCCCGAATTCCGAGACTCCTATGTGACGCCGGGTCACTTTTTCGATACATAATCGAATGTTTACGATACACGGGTACCCGGCCATCCGATGACAACGACAACAAAGGAGATAGGAATTACCACGTATTCCACACCGCCATTTTGGATCGAAAATGTATCGAAAAAGCGACCCGAACTCGGCGCACACCGGGCTCGGAATTCGTCGAGCAGAACATGGCGCCAGCTCTCCCACTTACATGACGACTCTATGTACTCTATGGAAAATAGGAGCCCTAGTGGTGGCCCATGGACTTCGAGTTAGGATCGTCTCTAGCCTCCGTCTTAAAGTGCCACGTTCCCTGTCTGTCTCTATTCATCTCCGGCGAATACGGCATTACATCCCACGGCCAATCATATACCTCAAGCGGGATCTTGTTCCCCACCTTGTCCTTGAGCACGAAGCTCCGCGAATCGAAAACCCCGTAGAGCAAGTTCGAACTGTTGTCGAGCTCGGCGTAGACCGGGCAGTTCTTGCTGGTGCTGTTGTAGAGGAGCTTGTACCAGCGGCCTTTGGAGTAGCCTCGCGAGAGGTACTCGACGTAGTGTTTGCTGTTGCAGAACAGGAGGTTGAACGGCAGTTCCTTCGTTGTCATGAGGATACCAATGAGGCTTCCGACCAGGCCGATGTGATTCTTCTTCTTCCCGTGGTTTATGAAGTTGATTTTCGCGTATTTCCCTGTCTTCGGCTGGATTATCTTCGGCTTTAGTTTCGGGAAGAACCTGTCACGACAACACAAGGAAGTAAATCAATGAAGTCTTCATTTGACAAAACAAAATATTCGTAAGCGTGCGGTGTTTAAAGTGAGGGAGGATGAAGAGCTCTTGAGGGGTCGTATTTGGACCGCGTCGAGCAGGAAGGAACCAAGCCACATCAGCTAGTGCCAAATTTAACTGGGCAATTTAATTTTTAACGAGAGAATGTTTGTGCAAATTCCTTCGAAAATGTTGAGGAATTTCCTTCGAACGAAGGAGAAAATTCACTAAAATTTGCACGAAAATCCGCACAACCGTTTTTACTGAAAAAATTTAATTGCCCAATTAAATTTGGCAATAGCTGATAAGGCTTGATTCCTTTCTGTTTAACGCGGTCCATTTAAGGTGGCTTGACGGACGCCACTTTTTGTGTCAGAGTGGCATGAGATATATCGCATCGAATTGTTTCATAATTTCAGCTACTTGCCATTTTTTTCGAATTTTGAGATCGCACCCCATGTAGCATTTGGATTTCAAGATTAAGTAAGGAAAGAGTAAGTATTACCTAAATCATTAGATCAATATAATGGTGACAACCATGGTGGTGGTGGTGGGTTAATGGTGAATCATGACAACAGAAGGCGATAGAAGATACTGGTATCGAAATCGCACTCGAATGCGATATTTTCCCCTCTAAAACAACCCTGCCTTTATAACGTTGAATGTCTTCGTCAAATTTGGTACATGAATTCTTTAGACTCATGACAACAGAATTGCAATCTCAAAATTCGAAAAAAATACGAGAAGCTGAAATTATGGAGCGAATCTATGCGATAGCGATATATTGCACGCCGCTCTGACACAAAAAATGTCGTCCTTCGAATCATCTTAATTTGGCAATTTACTTTTTTACATGAAAACGGTTTGCGGATTTTTGTGCAAATTTCTGTGAATTTTCTGAATAGTACGAAGCGGATTCATTAAAGTTTTCAAAGGGATCCTCACAAAAGTTCTCTTGTAAAAAATTAAATTGCCCAGCTGAAGACAATCGCTGATGTGGCTTGGTTTCTTCCTGCTTAATGCGGTCCATTTATAGTCTTTCCTTAAAACCAGCGCGACCGCAATGTTTTAAAAAGTGTGCAACTTCTTCTTTTTTTTAAAATAATAATTCAGATACGTATGCTTTAAAAATTTGCACAAATATTTTCCTTTGAAATTAACCATTTTTTGTGGAAAGCAAAACCTATTTGCTATTCTGGGAGTTTTTTAATTTATAATACTGATAATTGTATAATAATGTAATTATATTAAATCAATCTGGAAGACTTGGGTGGTGGTCTTTAAGATTTAGGATTTCGGCTACGGTGCAATGAGCCACAGATCTTGGCACCACGCTCGGATCTCGGCTAAAATCCGGGCCCAGCACCACAAAGTGGCCTCGCTACCCAATGCGCGCCCGTAATCCAGGCGATAGGCAATCGTGAGTCGTGGCGCTGGGTCCGGATTATTTCATGCGCTGGTGTGTGGCGCCACGCTCGAAAGTTTATCAAAGTTGGTTGGACAGTATTTTACGAAAGTTAAAGATGAGCGGAAAATTAACCATAAGCTGAACTTTGTGGCAGGTTGCACCAGTACTTAAGCGGTTTTAAACACAAGGGAAATTTGAGGATTTTGCTGGAGTGTGGCACCACACTGGCGCTGGGCTCGGATTTTAACAGAGATCCGAGCGTGGCGCCAAGATCTGTGGCTCATTGCACCGCAGCCAGGATTTTAGAAATAGAGGAATTGACTAGCTTAAAAATCCTTAGCTTGAAACTTGATACATCCCCATAACCCCCATAACTCCTATGACGTGTAATAGCGATGTTCATAACAATCATAACCCCCCATAACACCCTCCATGACCTCCGTGACCCCCATGACTCCGATGACTCCTATAACCCCTATACCTCCTCCCTCCCCACCGAGACAATATTCTGCATTCTCTGAATTCGGGTTTGTCCGTCAGGATATGCCTCAGATTTTCAAACCGCAGCTGAACATGACGCTCATTTTATTACTGAGTCAAAAATAGGGTCGATTCCTGAAAATAACACCTTGGAAGGTTCTCATGGCGGATCACTAAAATTACCAGTTTTTGATTCTATCTTTTTGCTGATCAGAGTGAATACTCTGTGTTCTAAACAAATTGAATCCAACAGACCTTCCTTTCGTGTAGTAGGTGAAGAATAGGAGTTGATCATTCCTGATAGCATAATACCATCGATAAGGGGGATGCACGGGTATTTTTTGAGTCATGGTGCTGACGATGAGACTAGAAACGACTGTGTCCCCTGTAGAAACGCCCAAAGTTTCGCCTTTCCCTTTAGTAAATACTCTGCCATGCTTGTCCGCTGTTAAACAGTCTGTAAAGAAGATAAGATATTAGATTCGAATAAAATCATTTTTAAGACGCTCGATGGACGGGGTGAGGAAGGGGAGTAAGCCACCGATGCCACCGATATAGTCGCGATAATCAACCGATAAAATTGCTATTTATCGCGATCACTGCTACTTGGGGAAGGGAAAGGGTGGCAAGGAAAGAATAAGGGGAAAGGAGGAAACCTTCTCCATTCCAATAAAATCATCTGTAATACGCTTTATGGACGGGGTGAGGAAGGGGAGTAAGACGGTCGATGGGCAGCAGTGAGGAAGAGAAGTTCAAAGATCACAGTTTTAAAAGAGTAGGTCCTTACTTTCAGAGGCCTTTTTTTAGTCATTGACAGCTGTAAGTGGCCCTATCATGGTCAACTTCCAAAAAAGGAAGCAAAATTCAGAGTAAGGAGTTGGTTATTAAGAATATTGTTTCACAGGAAATTTTTCTTTGAAACATCGTTTTTGTATTCAGTTGAAATTAATTGCTCATTAACCGCAAACGGGCGCTTTCGACGAGTTCGCTGAGGGGCCTTTGAGGGCGCGCGGCGCCGCGTGGGTTTAGCTGCGCAGCGGCCAAGGGGCACCGCCCCCTTGTAAGATAATAGATACAATTCTTCTCAAGGGTTTTAGGACATTTCGTCAACGATTTTTTGTCCGCGCACCTTCTTTTTCTGGTACTTTACGTCCACGCGGTGTTTCGGCAGGGGAGTTTTGGTCCTTCTACCAATTGAGACCCAAAGTTAATTAGTCCACATGTAAATATTAACAATTATTGCTCACGACGTTTTTTGATGAAAATATAAAATGTCATGGAAGAATGAGGGTTGGCTTGTTTTTTTTTTTTTTTTTTTTTGTTTGGTCCAACGGAGAAAAATATATAATTGAGATTTTTGGTAAAAATGGGGGGGGGGCGTCAATTCCATGGGGGAAAATTCTTTTAAACTCTCTACACCTCTTTGGTGCAAGAGGACTTAATTGTCATTCAAGAAAATCCCATCTTGTCACACCTGAACCGGATAAACCTCTTGATTTGCCGCAGCTAAAGGCTCTTTAGATTTTTCCTGAGTATGATAATTTCGCGACGGCGTCGGCGTGCCGCGGCGCTTCGAACTACTATTCCGCCACGGAGGTGTCGCACGATATCATACCAGATTGAAAGTACCCCAATGTGAACCATGACCATGATCGATGGCGTCTTTCAAAAGCATGCACGAAGTTCTTTCGCAAATTAACTCAAGTGACGACGACCAAAAGAGAGCGGTAGTCGAAAAACTTACTAAGTCCTGGTATCTGTATTCAATAACGTTTAGCATGCGAGTTTACAACTTCATTATAGGAAAAAGACCCTTGATTCAAGCAGAAACATGCTCAAATTTACCGCTGAGAAGATATCCTTATGAATCAATTAAGAAAGTAATGCTTGTTTGAAGAAGAAAGGGTGCTTGTATAAAAAGAAAAGTAACTTATAATAAGCAGAAACCAGCTTTCATTCAGTTGTTTTATTCTTGATTCAAAATTCAAAATAAAATCTTCTTGACGCGATGCTCAAGAATGTTTCTGCCTAAATGGAGTCACTTTTTTCTATTATGAAATATAAAAAATATGCTAGGATGCTAGGACTTGATGAGTTTTTGGATTACCGCTCTCTTTTTGTGCTGAAGTAACTAGATTTATTTTGCGAGGAAAGCTCCGTACTCTTGAATGATACCTGTCATTCTTGAACGTTGAGTGCCTTCAATTTCGTATTATACTGTGCAACAACTTTGTCGCGAAATAATTGCTCGAAGCGCCGTGGCACGCGGAGGACGAGGGCGATCAGCGCGACACGCTCATTGGCGCCTACAAACCTAACAAGGATACTTCACGCATTGCGCAATGCGTGAAGTATCCTTGTTAGGTTTGTAGGCGCCAGTGCGCATGTCGCGCTGGCAGTACCAAAGATTACTAAGGACCCCAGATACCGCATTGAAATAAAAAACGGCCCCCCAGTCCCCTGCAGCTCCAGGGTAGGCAACCTGTTTAGCGGTATGCCATACTTCGAGCTAACGAATATACTGCTTGCCGTGTGTTTGACCGGTTTCGCCGTGCTGTGCTAAGTTTGGTTGAAGATTCACAGTATTAAATTTTCTTATGTTTTAAATCATTAAAAATGCCGACCCCCCCCCCTCCCCAAAAAAGAAAGAAAGAAAGAAAGAAAAAATTAATGCAAATATCTCTGCTCAATTTTCTGAGTCTATTTACCATGACTAGTGACTAAAATGAACGATTTTCGCAATTTGTCGTTCATAATTTGCACATTTGAAGTGCAATTTCCCATGCACTTCCATTACAAGTGGGCTAAAGTATGGCATACCGCTATACAGGTTGCCTACCCTGGCGCTGCAGGCGACTGGGGGGCCGCTTCTTTCCTACGGCAAGTATACGACGTGCGGTATCTGGCGTCCTTAGTAATCTTTGGGCAGTACGCCCGCGCGTTGCTCTGCTCTGTTTAAACTCGCGGAGTCAGCATTTTTCAACTCATGATTTTGAAATGTTTGACCACTCTGCATGGATTATTCTTATTTAAATTGAAAAAAAAAAAAAATAAAAAAATGTATTAAAGGAAAATATAATGAGTGTTTTGTAAATATTAAGGTGGTTTCGTGTCAAATTTAATGATTTTCAAAGCTCTTTAATTTTTTATTATATATTTTGTGCTTTTACTGTGCTGCAGCGTAGTGTGCGCGCAACTGAATGGTCAAAATAGGACGTATTTGACGCTAAAAGATCGACGTACAAATAAGTTAAAACTAAAGATTGCGTGCTTCTTGGTTTTATCTCCTCTTTTATTCATTTTTGTGTAGTTTTTTCAACACACCTACGTCTCATTGATATTAAAACCGATGCCATCGCTTGGACAGGTTTTACAAATATATGCCAAGTTTTAAAAATGTGAATTTTTTTAAAATGAAGTATTATTGTCATTAAAAAATAAAGAAAAAAAGGTATGTGTCGGAAGGTATATTTTATATATAGAGAATTGTAAGAATAGAAAAAAATAAAACCGACTATTCACTAATGACAATTTGTAGTAGTAGTAAAATGAAAAATGAATCAAAAGAAGAAAGTAACATTTGATTTAAAAAATGAGTCACCATAACAACGCCTCATTCTCTATAAATTTTCTCATTTCTATATTGTCAATATAATTTTAGATCCGGACTAAAATATGACGCTTGGACCAAGTCACTGGTAATTATTTTTTGCGTGGACGTAAACTATTGGACAAAACAGATGCGTGGACAAAAAATCGTGGACGGAATGTCCTGAAACCTTCTCAAGTCTCACCATCAGTTAAATCTTTTCCTAAACAACTGCATGCCGCATGTGAGACTCAGTGGCGTGGCGTGCTTTCCGATACATCGATTAATCTTTCATTTAAACTTGTAAGAAAGGATCGATTAACAAGGTGTTTGCAAAGAACACCTTAATAATCGATTATTTACCATAGCATCAAATGAAGAAATCTCGAAAATCGATATTCACGCCTCGCCACTGATGAGACTACATCGTCGCTCCTCTGACGTAAGGGCGTATCTCTATTTTCACGTGAGCCTTGAAAAGCATGGGGTTATATGAAGAACAGGGCTCACGTAGAACTTGAGATACGCCCTTACGTCAGAGGAGCGACGACATGAGTAGGCTGCATCCCCAGAATAGAGAGGAACGATTGGACTTATTTCTGTCAAACAGAACTACGTGTATTATAACGTGAGCCCTGTTATGCATGTACTCTTATGGGTCTTAGGGCTCATGTCTTAATGCACATAGTTCCGTTTGATAGAAATACGTCCGATTCACTGTTGGATCGATATCGATGACCAAAGTGCGAAGTCGTGTATCTTCATTACAGTGTTTCAAAACTTCCGTTCTTATTTAATTTTTTCGAGGAGAAACAAGTCAATTTTATGGCTTGAACTTTATACAGAATATTCTGAGAAAACAGAGGAGAAATTATAGACGTTTTCCAGAAATTAGGTTGACTTTTTTAGGTTGAAATTTTTTCAAGGAAAAAATAAAGCATGACGGGAAATCTCCAGCGTTGCACGTGGTGATACGTGGTTTCGTACTTTGGCCGTCGATATGTAGGTGATTTAGATTTTATCCGTACATCGAAGTGATAATAATTCAATGACCTCAATAAATGGTCTCCTGCAGAAGACGAAAAAGACGACTAAGAAGAAGATAGAGATAGAGTAGTAAGTGTAGTGGTAAAATTACAAAACGGCAGACACATACTGGGAGTGACTTTTATGGTTTCAATGACGGTACAAACATGTTGCAATCGCTGAGTTTCAAAACCGGTTAGTTCTGATAAAACAATATCATAATTTTTAGGCCTCCATTGTCTTTATTGTTCATTTTTGAGAGTAAAAATTTATTCTGGACTTGCTGTGGATATTAGTAATTGAGCCAAAAATCAGTCGTAATTTAAAAATTATGTAATTAATCGACAGTGAAACTCCTAAAACCACATATTCCGGTTTGCGACGTTGCAGACTTCCTTTCATATTTTAGATTTTCAATAGACACTCGACGTCAACTCATTAAAACTTCCGTGAATTTTTTTCTCCTCGCGCAAAGAGAATCCTGTGAAAAATTCGAGGAATGATTTTGATGTGTGACGAGAACAAAAAAAAAAAAAAGACGTCAAGTCGTTGTCTTTTTGTGTCAAAAGTATAATGAGAACGGATACTCCAATAAGTATATTCCAATGTAATGGGATCGGATATTCTAAAAAGACCGCAAACGAGATTTGTAGTCCGGAAGTTTCACCGTCCATTTTCATTTTGCGTGACCATCTACAGAAAGAAGGTCCGTAGTGCCCAAAAACTTCAAGTTATGCTATTGATATCTTTGCTGTAAAATAAGGTTTGATCATCTTGAAGCAGAAACGCCAAAAAATGTGAAACAAAGCCAAGGTCATAATGATTTGAAGTTTGCAGTTCTTGCACGTACTTCAGGGAGAAAGCGATTGAAAGTCTTACAATCTATGCCAAATTTTTGAGCTCAAAATGTCAGATCAAGCTAAATTTTGAGCTTTCATTTGAAGCATACAAGTCAAAACTCAATTTTTTTACGATTTCGTCGACAATGCGTGGATTGAATTTTGCAAAAAGGAACTAAGAGCATTGTAATGTCACTAAGATTGAGCAACTTTTTTTACCTTGCAAATATAAACTGATCATCCAAATAAGTTTTATCTTTACTCCCGATAAACTGCGAATTTAAGACAAAAATTAGCTTTGTAAATTTAATTTTTTGCATGATTTCAGTACTTTTTTGCAAAGAATGTAAGTTGCACAATCCTAGCAACATTTGAACGCTTGTGGCTCCTTTTTGCTAAATGCAATCCATGTACTATACGCATCCTGTAAGAAAAATTGACAAAAATGTCTAATAAGACTCACTTTTGGGCGCTTCTGGGTACCAGATGCGCCCTTTCCAACCGTTCGACTCCCCCGATGTAACATGTACTATACTACATACCGTTTTGCCTTATGGGTAATGACGCCATTCTGGTACACCCGGGAAAATTTGATTTTTTTCTGCATCTGGTATTCGTAAAAGTTTTCGTGAAATGTTTTGCTTTTAAGTATAACAATCTCGCACGGACGTATCACCTGGTTAAACTATTTTGGGGCTTCGTTATGCTTAAATGCCTCATATTCGAGGTTGTAGTTTCAGATTGATTCGAAAAAATCACGAACAGTCACGTGATCTCTTCATTTTAGTGACGTATTACTGTGCTATTTTGTGATTGGTTCATTTTCTCGGCGCAGCATCGTCAAGCGTCAGCAAAGACATAAAGACGGAGTGCTCGTATCTAAAAGCACGGGGAAAAAGTGAAGCCTAGTTTGGCGCTGGGTGCTTGTGTGAGTGTGTAAATGAGCGCGGGAATCCATGGCGGCAAACGGAAATTTGATTTGAACTTGTCCTCTTGATTTTTCCCCATTTCTTCTTCTAAACGTGTTTTAAATGCCTAAAACGATTATATTAAGAAAGTTCGGTCTGCGTCCTAATATAATACACCTACTTTTGCTCAGTAATAGGCAGTAATCTCAGATAAAGTTAGTTTTTCTTCTGCTCATGGTGGTTCTGCAGGTTCAAACAGGTCGTTACAGTTCTAGATGACCGTCACTCCCAAATGAAATTAATCGGTCGACGACGGACCAAAGCTAACCTAAAGTTAAAGAAATATGAGTGGGTAAGTGAATTTGGGCAAAAATCAACCTAGAATACTTTGTTTCCGCAATTATTTTATTCAGTTCCCGCCCTATTTTGAATTCAAACTTGTCCCGATTTCGCCGCCAATCCTCTAGCCAATAGTAGAGGTGGTTGAAAAGAAGCTTCATTTTTTGCTTTTAGCCCTCCGTCTTTATGTCTTTGAGCGTCAGCTGTTTGCGGCTCTGGGTTGAAGGCAGAGACAAGAGACCCTCCACTAGTAACTTGGCTATGGTGGAAGCTTTTACTTTCGGGACTTCAGCATTCTACTGTTGACTTACCTACATGGTTGATGTTCAACAACGTGTTGGCAGTTTCGTTTTGCAAACAAGCCGAAAATGGCCGACGTTTGGGAAAGTTGTTTGGCTTATGACGTCATCCGAAGCTCATCATCGACCATGTAGGTAAGTCAACAGCCGAAAATATGGTGATGACTGTTGCTCGCTCATAATTGTCCATAAGGAATTGTTGAAACCCCGAAAGTAAAAGCTTCCACCTGTCGCTAGGAGGCCAGTGGAGGGTCTCTTGTCTCTGGTTGAAGGTTTAAGGTTATGTCAGAGAGAATAGAAAGTTAGAGGCCCGACTCGATGCTAGGTAATTGAAACAGATGCGCTCGCAGCGCGCTCGCTGGCAACGTACGCAACTACTATTTTCTATTGTTTTCCAGAGACTGGGTATGTTGCTGCCGGACCACCTTCACGTAGGCAATTTGTTATACATCGTCCGTCCGCAATACTCTCGCTTGGCCGTATGAAAACGTTCCTCGCATGCGCAGTGTTAAAGAAGCGCCCTCCAACGCTTTGGCGTTGGAACTGCTTGTTTCTTTTTCGCCCGATTAGAAATTTCGGTTGTCAACTTTAAACTAAAACACAATGGCCATTTCGGATTTCACATCCATAAACAGGTGATTAAAAACGAAAAACCAACTAAAATAAACGAAACGGAAGTTAAAACATCATTATCACCGGCAACTTCTTCGTTTTAACTTCCGTTTCGTTTGTTTTAGTTCGTTTTTCGTTTTTAATCACCTGATGATGGCTGTGAAAACCGAAAGGCCATTGTGTTTTAGTTTAAAGGTTGACAACCGAAATTTCATATCGGGCGAAAAAGAAAAAGTGAGTATTAGCTGATACAACCCGATAAAGGAGGAAAAAGAAACATAATGAGGAAAAATAAACACAAAAATGTCTCTCCTAAAAAATTCGCTCTCGGGAAACCGAAGGCCATAATCCCGTGGACGATCATGAGTAATGCATCTACTTCTTAAAAGCGTGAAAATTGATACGATGGAAAACGTTGCATGTTCTTACCTTTTGCTTGTTGAAGTAGAATTATGTAGGAGATTAGGGAAAACAGACGATGAAGAATCATCACTGCTTGTAAGTTTGGAGCCGCGAGTACAAAACGAAACAGAATGTGAACGACTTCATGGTTGGTAAGACCTACAGAGTGCATTGACGCAATTTTGCACGAGCTCTTTTTTTTCCCTGAGCGAAGTTGTTTCGGTTTTTTTTCTCTTCCCCTTCCTTTGGTCGCTGACATTTTAGGGCACAGTGAGATTTACCATTCAGTGACGTCGGGAGGAGGGAGGCATTAGACTGAATATCATCTCCAAACCTGGAAGAGCCAATTTATGATAGATTGTATAGTATGTGAACGCGAGCACGTGAAATAGCAAAACAATATGGAAGGTACAAGTTCGGAACAAACTGCACGGAAAAAATTAAATTGCTGATGAAAAAAGTGACCGACATGTTCCAATGTAGATTTTAGAATCAAAAATCCTAATTTAACCATCCCCGTGGATAAATTGGACCGAGTTTCTCGGAGAGGAACCAACCCGCATTTTCGAAATAATTGAGTTAAGAATGTTTTTGAGTTCCACCAGTCGTATATATTCCCCTGCCAAAGACTCGAAGTTGAGAAAAAAAATTCTTCTGCTTTAAGAGGGGTTAAAGTTTATTTTCTACATTGAGCTTTATGGCGAAATAAAACTGCAAACCTCTTTTTCTCAGTTTCAACTTTATGTGGGTTGGATCCTTTCTGTTACTTAAACTCGGTCCAATTAGCATTCAACTATTGTAAAATGTACATTTGGAACATGTTAGTCACTTTTTCAAACAATTGAATTGTTGAATCAGCAATCCGTTTTTTCCCATGAGGGCTCATCCAACACGCTGGGAGCGGGCTAAGTTGCGCCTGGAAGCAGGCAATCAGCCGAGCCGGGCCCTGGCCGCTCGCGAACTTCGTGACCACGAAAAAGCACTCAACACAACAACTAAGCAGGCCAATCAACGAGTGCTTAGGGCATCGGACCTCGGCGAATGTACCCTCTCCAAAAACGCGTAACCGACTGCTCAGAGTCAAAGCTGAAGCCGGCCGAACTTAGTTCCGTCAAATTTTCCGTCAAAACGCAATTTTCTTGGAAATTGCGTGTGATCCATGGCAGTACTTTATTTTAAGCTATATATTTAGTTGGATTCTAGTATTTCCTGCTAATTTACATGCCTCATCCAGAAAAATAAAATTCCAAGACTAACTCCTGCGTCATATCACGAAATACAATCAACACAGCGTGCTGGAGTGTCGTCAATTGTCACGCAGTGCACGGTCAGCGGAAAGAAAAAGCAAAACGCCTTAAATTTTGATGCATGCAGCACGGACAACCTCCGAGCGCGAATAGTTGTATCCTTGCGTTTTTACCCAGATATCAAGATTGTATCTTAGTCAGACTGTTAGTGCGGAATATTATTCCTGCAGAGAGCCAATGAAAACAGTACCTTTAAGTGAAGGGGAAACGCAAATCGGGGGTGTGTCCATAACATAACCACGAGAGCACGCAAAAGAAAGCATTTACGACTGCCTTTCCTAACATTATTCTAACATGAAAATGAAAAATATTCTTTTTGAAAATGAAATTGGTCGACTTTCATTCGCCTAAACGATTTCTAAGAAGAAAGAAGAATCGGAAGATCGGAATATTAGTGGTAATTTGACAAAGAACGGAGCTCCTTCAAAATTTTTCTAATCTCTTTTAGATGAAATCACTGAAATAACTAAAACGGCAAAATTCATCATACTTGTATTAAAACAACACACGTGAGAAATCTGCAAGTGTGCAAAAAGTGATGTAGTTTCAGGCAAAACTTCCAGTCAGACATTTGTAAGTCCGTTTTCTCAAAATTTCATTTTTGCACTTACTGCTCTCTTCGCTAACACGGCAGAACGGTATGCGTCCGTCGGTGACTTAAGAGTGTTTTCGCAGCTAAGGTGCGGTTCCCTATGTTTGCTCCAAGTTACTTCGCCAATCGCCAGGAAGGATGTTAATACGATGAAAACCGAGCAAACTTGCCTCGTCGTGCCTCCCTCCAGAACCTCGAAGTTAAAGCAAATAAGACAAGTCAGGAGCCCGGAGGGCGCACAGTAGATCGAGTCAATCAGAGGGGTCGGACATGAAATTATTGACTAAAACTCCAAATTTTGATGAATATTTGTCACATTTAACATTTTATGGGATGCTCCTCGAAGAAAATTTCACGCGGAAACCGACGGAACTACTTTTAAAACCACAAAGTTTTATATAAACGGAGTTAGAAGTTTTTAAAGTTTCCAAATGTTGTCGGACCTCTCCTGTTAACTCGATCCAATGTGCGGCGGGGTTTAACGCAATTCCGTTGAATGTAAATTCTACCCTCTTCGATCCCTACTTTCAAGAAAACTCGATTTAACTTATGTGAGGGCCTTTCAGGGACTTTTATTCCTCCTGCGTACACGGAGAGAAAAAAAATTAAGTCAGTCGTCGACCTGGCAGTATTATGAAAAACAGTGATGAGTTTTGGTACTCTCAACTAAGAGGAAAGGAAGGGGGGGGGCCTCTTCCCGTTCTCGAAAATAATAATTTTTTCGGCCATTCCAACGAACCGCGCGTGGGTTGTTTTTGTTCCATATTTCGTAATTACTGTCGTCACTCTAGACAAAAATAACTTTCCCTGATTGAACGAAGGTCTATTTTGCTGCTGTGCAGAGCAAAAACGCTGTATGATCCAACCTCTCAGAAAATAATTATTTTTGAAGAAAGTTTTGAATATTTTGCCTTGAAATTTTCAGACTTTTTAGATCAAAGTGCGAGCGCAATCCTTTGAAATATTGGAAGAAAAATAATTCACAAATTTTACAGAAAATTCGTGATTTGTCGAAGGAAATTTGGCAACGCCATTGCTCTTACGGCGTTTTTCTTCAGCACGGGATAATGATGTGGCTTAAAAAAATGAGCTATCGAGATGTTTTTTTTAGAAAAATCTAGATAACACTCATTCCCCCCGCCCCCCAAAAAAAATAGTTTCAAAGAGACTTAATGAAAACTAAGTTGCTGATACATGAGCTGATTTTTTCGTACCATTTTTCGAATTTGGGCTTCTTTACTCTGTGCCGGAAGCCTCTACCAATTCATCATCTTTCAACCACTTTTCCTTAAAGCACAAAAAAGTCACCTGATAAATGGGCATAGCACAGATAAAGGGATGGTATTTGGGCGCATTAATAAAAATGACGCCTCTCTAAAAAATCATTCCATTATTAGGCAAATAGAAAATTAGCTCTTTGTTCGTTGTGCCTAATTTTCATGTAACGTAAGGCCATTGTATACATGTTGCAGATAGTTAGTGGTCGAGCAAATCGTCTTCCTTCTGACGTAAGGGCGTATCTCAGTGGCGTGGCGTGAATTGCGATGTATCGATTGTTATGCCATTTAAACTTATGGTAAAGAATCGATTGTTAATTTGTTCACTGCGAACACCGCGTTCATCGATCCTTTCCCATAGGTTTAAGTGACAGATCAAGCGATATATCGCAAAGCACGCCACGCCACTGGCGTATCTGCATTTCCACTTAAGACCTAAAAAGCGTGGATTTACATGTAAAATAGGGCTCACGTGGCAATTGAGATACACCCTTCCGTCAGAGAGGTGACGAAATTACCATCCGTGTTGGTGACAATTTACCCTTCGAACAGCCTTGTTCCTTTTCCAGTAAATAATATTTTCGACGCATATAATATTTTACATGCAGGGTATGAGAATAAATAACGATTCATTTGATTATGGTATAGGTAAGTGTCAACTATTTTATTATATCACCTGATAAAATTCATAAATATATCTCACAAAAATATAAAATTATAACGTTTGTGTCCTTGCCCGGCAGTTAATAGTTAACCTTTGCCAGGCCTAATAGATTAGGTCAGAGGAGTCGAGACAATATTTCCTTCCTCTCGGAGAAAATCACAAAATAACACCCTAGTAATTTCATCAACTTTCATTTAATTAGTAATATGTGAGGTTTTGCATCATCTGTTTGGAGTTAGATATCTCTACCAAATGTTTTCATTTTTTTAAAATGTATTTCTTTTACACTTAAAATATCCCAAGGAGAGGGATAATCTCTCGCTTGCCGTTTTATGAGAAAGGGTGGGCCAATGTGGTGTACGTGCAATGCGTGAAGTATCCAGGCAGTCTTGCAGGCGCTAACATGTGCTCCGCGTCGGCCGCATTGTGTATAGCGTGATCGTTCAAACTCGCACTGTCAGAATTTTACAACTTGTAATTTTCAAGTTTTTTGCACAAGTGCATTCTGTATGGAACATTATCATTATTGTTTGTTACACTATTCGGATCATTCTTGACCACTCGTCATCCGCCTGGTTATATGAATATAGCCTCCACGTTAGCATATTGAAAATGTAAGTAACTCGATTTTGCCAAAATCTTTGATTACTACTCTTTAGCTCTGAGCTCTTGTATGCTGAGGGGACTTGCGAATCAGGTAACATTTCGTACTGAAACGCTAAAACAAAGTTGGCACCGCTACTCTCCTCTTGGTCGAACTTCAAGCTCAAAAACAGCTCTCCAAGGTGAGGCTGAAATGTAATGGATCCGTTCTGAGAGTGTCAACCTCTATATCGGGTCATACTCTCTATACACACGTAAAAAGGGCGGATACATAATCGCGGCTGCCTTGGTTTCAGACTAAAAAATTATCAGTTTCCTTGGGCTTTGGAGTCTCTCCTGAATGTGGCAACCCTGAGAATGTACAAATATTCGCTACCTATCTGTGCGTGGAGTTTGATAGGATAAATAGGTGAAATCTATTAAAACGCCACCCTACTGGCAGAGTAAATTTTATAGAGAGAACTTTAGAATAAAAAACTGCCACAGCTATCTGAGTAAGGCGACAATTTTTGTTCTTTAAACTTAAAAATGCCACTTTTTATACACCATACAAGTTTTCTAAAACGTTACTTAGCAAATGTCAATTAAAATGTTATATATTACATAAAGTTTGAGTTTTTACGTCGCATACTCTGCAATTTATTGTGTGTGTATCCATTTGAAGGGTTCTAGAATTTTACAAAACTTTGATGCTACTTTTATCTTCCTGACTTTCTTTCAACGTAAAGTTCACATAAATTTGACTCAAAAAATGACAGAAAGGGTTTCCTAACTCGTACGTCTTAGCATGATTTTTAAGTGTTATTAAAGTCCAAATTTAATAGTCAATGCTATACCAGGGCGGGGATCCAAATGGTTCCCATTATAGCCTCAATTTTGAGAGCTTTTTTCGATTTAAGGAGCTTCTTTTAGAGCGCAAATCAGCGGCATCATAGTGTTTCATCGCCAAATTTTTAACCCAGGAAAAATTACTGTTAAAATTTTCATCCCATTTAGCATGCAAAATATTAATTGATACAAAATCAAAATTTAAGCACCTTTTGTGTGCGTAAAACAAAAGAGCAGTAATTCAATAAAAACAGAAAATAAAAAAATGAGCTATTCGAGGACAACGATTTTGAAAAAGATATAAAATCACAGAGCCATATTTCAAGCTGATACAGGTTCATTTGTTGCAGCAGAAACAAAATTTTTTATTAAATATTGAGTGATGACGTGATTACAGTGGTTATCTCGTAACCACGGAAATTCAGGAAAAAGACCATTTCAGGGATTACTATATGGCTTCGTACACACAAAAAATAAAGGGGGTCGGGTGAATTCCTATTCATACACATCTGCTAGTAAAATACTAATGGTTGACAGGCTAACATTTAAAAGGGCTGCCCTCCTTAATACGGCTGGAAAAATTGGTGATTTTGGGCGCTCGAACCCCTCTAAGTTTGCCTTAAAGTCGCAAAGCTTGTCTCTCTCTCTCTTTGAGCATATGTGTTATATCAATTGCATATCTTCTCTATATAAAAAGGTAAGAGTACCTATGTTTATAAGGAGATCACGAGAATGTCGAAATATAGAGCTTCTAGGGCCCAAAAGGGCAGTCAACATTCGAACACAAAAAATGTCCTTGCCAATCTTCACATTCCAAAATCAAACCAAGCTAGCCAAGAATGTTCACAAATGAGCATTCTCCCGCAATAGTGAGTAAATTTATGCAAAAACTAAGTTAAACACGTGATTAACAAACGGCGGGTTGTAAGAATTGTAATAATACTCTGGATGTAATAAAAACTCTGTATAATTTGAGTTCATAGGTTGGCTGCCCCTTTAGCCCCAAAAGCTCCATGATCTAACCTCAAAATTTTCGACTTGTCTGCACTTTCCCCAAATTGGTACTCTAGGCTCAGTAAGGGGGTACAGTACTTGAATCGAAAATCCCTGTACAACATAAAAAAGCACCGTACCCTACTTCATGCAAGGACTTCATCGTCGCATGGTGGATCGAGTCAATCAGAGAGGTCGGACATGAAATTTTTGACGAAAACTGGAAATGTTGGTGTTCATTTCCTCACATTTTACATTCCAAGTGGTGCTTTAGATAGTAAATTGCATGAGGAAACCAATAGAACCACTTTCAGAACCTCAAAGTTTTGTAAAAACAGAGTTATAAAGCGTTTAAAGTTTTCAAATTTTGTCCGACACTGAAAAAAAATTCTCGGCGTTTTTACCAAGGTCCGTTGGTATCTTTACCATCTCACATTTTTACCAATTATTGGTAATTTTATTAAGAGAGACTGGTAAGCTTACCTAAAAACCCGTATTTTTACTGTTTTTTTCAGGTAAGAATACCACTTTTATCAGTAATCAATTCCCGGTAACTTTGCCATTTTATCTCGGTAATTCTACCACAGTCGATAAAAAATATTGTCGTTTTTACCAAGGTCCAGTAAAATTACCGAGAAAGTTCATTAATTTTACCAAGATTTCTCGGTGAAATTAGCAATTCCATAAATGGTAATTTTACCAAGAAAAAACTGGGATCAAATAGAACCCTGAATTCTTGGTAATTTTACTCTTTCCTTAGTTAATACACCGAGATTTTTTTTTCAGTGGACCTCTCCCATTGACTCGATCCACTGTGCGTCGGTTAGGACACTTACTATGGTTTCTTTGGCTCTTTCTGGCTCTGAAAATGTGCTTTCCAAGACTAGGGCATAGGTGGCAACGGGATTATTTTATGTGGCCATTCGGGAATACTCAGTTTGATCGTATTATTCTCCTTATCCTTGAGTTCGAATTCTTTAAACCAATAGAGCGTCCAAAATGCGTCGGCATCATTTTTGAGCGGATTGTGAACAGGACAGTCCTTGCTGGTGCGGTTCCAGTAGGGTTTGTACCACTTGCCCTCCCCCGCGCCCCGACTGAGGTACTCGACGTAGTGCTTGCTGTTGCAGAACAAGAGGTTGAACGGCAGTTCTGTGGTCGTCATGAGGACGCCCACCAGGCTTCCTATCAAACCCGCGTGTGGCGCCTTTTGCCCTCGATTCTTGAAGTTCACGTCGGCGTACGGTGCTTCGTTTCGTTTGATCAACTTCGGTTTGAATTTCAGCTGCCGCCTGAAATCGAGTCAGAAGGTTCCTGATTTATTCGTTTAAGGTGATTCGATGGACGCTATATTTTGTGTCAGAACGACGTGCAATATATCGCATCGGTTGGATCCAATTTTCAGCTACTCGTGATTTTCCTCGAATTCTGAGATCGTAATTCTGTTGTCAGGAGACTAAAACATGTACTTACCAATTTTAACAAAGAAATTCAACGTAATAAAGGCGTGGTTTTTTTTAGAGAGAAAACATCGCATTCGGTACTGATATCGAAACCGCACTCGATGTCATATTTTTCCTCTAAAAATACCACGCCTTTCTTACGTTAATTTAGTTCGTCAAAATTAGTAAGTGCATGAATTTTTTAGTTTGCCATTTCAAATCAACCAACAGTAGCCTCGAAATTTTTGGTGACTATCTCTTAGAGAACAAATATTTCATGGGCCTTTCCACTTTTAGATACACAGAAGAAATGAAATTGCCGATTTAACAATTTTGTAGTTAAAAAAAGTGCCCGACAAGATGCATTGTAGATTTTACAATAAAAAAATGCTAATTTAACCATGCTCGTGGTTAATTTAGCATTATAAAATGTAAATTTGAAACCTGCGGACATGTTTTTCCTATCAATTTAATTGGTAAATCAGCAATCCACTTTTTCCCGTGTAACTTAATAGGGTGCGTGTGGCTACTGAGTCTTTGGGAGACCCTTAAGATCCCTCATCTCCCTCGAGAAATTTTTTGAGAAAAAATATCACGAGTCAAATTTTGGCGTTTCTTAAAGAATGGTTCGCTAAACCTTGCCATTTGCTTCATATTCTCAAAATAGAGGGTGGGTAGATTACATGTTGCTGTGTTGCGCATTTTTGAAACCAAAATCCTGGACAAAGCCGCCTTTAAACAGTTCAAAGACCCGAAGGAATTTCAAACGCACCGTAGGGGCGGGAAAAGATGGAAGTGAACTATTCTGAACAATTCAATTTGTAAAAGTAATCAGTACTTTTGAAGAGAGCGCCAATCACCATTGATTTAGAAAAATTTTCTAGAATTTTCTCACATAATGAACTTATTGACAATTGAATATTTTATCAAGAAATACACTGAAAATACAATATGCTGGTTTAGCAACTAGGATGTCAAAAATGTGTCTGGTGATCCCAAGATGCTGCCTTTACTGCCCCTGCAGTTGAATTTACATCCTATGAATGCAAATTCAATTGCGTGGGCAATCAAGGCAGCATCTTTGGATCACCAGACACATTTTTGACATCCTAAGTGCTGAAATAGCGTACCATTTTTTTCAGTGATTTGCCATTTTCTACCCTCTCCTCTCCTCACAGATCAAGGAGGTAAATTCGCAACAAAGCTAATACTGGAATACGTTCTCAGGCGTAGTTTATCGTTAAGAAAATAAAACGAAAAGGATACTAACTTTCCATCCTTTTTTTCATGAGCATACGTAAAGAACAATAAATCATCCTTATTGATAGCGTAATACCAGCGGTACGGTGGATGAATCGGGATGTTTTTGGTTTTCTTGTGGACTATTAGACTCGATACAAGAGTGTCTCCAGGTTGAACCTCCAGAGTTGCACCTTTCCCTTTCATAAACTTTCTACCGTGTGAGCGTCGTCGATGAAAGGCATCTGAAATGTTTTTAAAAATATTAGTTTTGGAGGCATCAGACATGTTTTACAAACTCCAAGTTAAAATTGTTCTAATTTCTGGAGAGAAAGCGACGGAGGCGGATCCAGCAATTTGGCAACACCGGATTGCCTCAATTTGAACCTATGTTAAATAATCGATCCTTGTTGGAGCACCTGGCCCCTCCAAGAAGCGATACATTTCCATAGGTTTAAATGGAGAAAAAACAATGTTGCCAATTTGCTGGATCCGCCAATGGAAAGCGAAAAGAACGGGATCCTGCACTCACTTCAGCACGATTGCTTGCATAGGTATGCTTCGCTCGCATAAATGCATAGAATCAGTGGCGATTTTGCAATTTGGCAACACTGTTTTTCCTCTGTTTAAATCCATTAAAAATATCGATTCCAGGCGAGAAAAGCTGCCCCACGAAGGCTCGATTGTTTTACATACACCCCTTAACGCTGTAGCACGGCTCTTAACTGTAGATATAGTATACAGCCTATCGACAATGAAACTCCCAAACCACTTATATCGTTTGCGGTGTTTAAAAATCTCTGCTTTTATTTTATTTTTTTAAAGGGGGAGCTAATCAACATCATTCCTTGAAGTTTTTTCACAGTTTACTTCACACAGGGATTGCACAATATCAAGAAGAGGACGCCGATTAGGTACATGATGTGCAAGTTGGTAGAGGAGTATCGGAAGTGGGGTTTGGAAGTCAGTATTTCCAAATCCGAGAAACTGACTTTGGGAGGTGATCAGCAAAGCATTGAGTTAGAGGATGGACAGCAGATCAAAGGCTGCGAGCACTGTAAGTACTTGGGGGTGCGGTTGACTCAGAATGGAAGAACGGATCATGCGATTACGGGAAGAAACACCCTGGCAAGGAAGGCTACAGCGATTGTAATGGAATCCTGTGGGATTCGCGGATTTCCAAAGAGAACAAGAGGAGAATTTACAACGTTGTAGTCAAAAGTATTCTTACAAACGGCTGTGAAGTTTGGCAGCTGAAGTAACGAACAAAGAGGATTCTAAGAGCAACGGAGATAAATTTCTGGAGGAGGTCTGCAGGAATTTTTAGGAGAGATCGGGTCCGCAATGAAAGAGTGCGTCAGATCATGGGAGTCAAAAATGGCATCATATTCGACGTCATAACCAGACAGCTTGTCTGGTATGGTTATGTCAATGGAATGGCGGACGAAAGGCTGCCAAAGAAGTTGCTTGATTGAGTACCTCCTGGGAGGAGACCAACGGGATGCCCAGTGAGAGGGTGGTGACAGGGGGTTTTAGAAGAAATGAGGGTTTGCCAACTCCCTGAAGGGTTTTGGGAGGATAAGGGACTTTGGCGGCTAGGGGTCGCAGAGCGCCAGAGAGCGTTACAAAAGCGACTTTATACATACACATACTTCACACAGAGAAAATAATCACAGAGGGTTTAAAGAAATGATATTGAGTAATTCTCTCTTTGAAAAATGAAATATGACAGGAAGTCTGCAACGACGCAAACCGAAAAAGTATTTTGGGAGTTTCACTCTCTATGTATAGCTAATATCATGCCCTAAGTTCTCGTTATTACATATCATGTACTCTTTTCTCTTTATGCAACGTTGCGGTTGTTATTGGACCGAACGTATTTATAGACGATCCTTAAACAGCTTTTTGCCTTAGAGGGTTTATAAACTGTGATTAAGGGTTGTTCGAGAAAATTCTTAAAATACCACTGGCATAAAAGAAGAAAATTTAACGAATGTCGGGCACATAAGGGGCTTGGAGGACAAGGCGCATAAATGCGCAGTTTTTGCTATTTGGAGAAATACGTGTTTGAAGTTTCGAAATCCTGTGGATCCTATGATGGAAAGAAAGTTCAAACTGACTTTTATTGAAATTTATAAGCGAATTTTTCACAGAACATGCATTAAGACTAGTTTTATTTGAAATCGTCAGTATCTCGTTTTTTCGAAAACTGCACTTATGCGCCTTGTCCTCCAAGCTCCCCCCCCCCCAATTCATCAGTATTATTTTTAAAATAGATCTCTTGCAAGGTATTACAATATTTTGCCTCCACAAAAACACAAAAAAAGTATTTTTGCATGTTTTGAAAATTTATCAAATAGTTTAATTATATATTTTGTAGTTATTTATTTTTCACAGTGTTAAATCATCGTAATCCCAATCGAAGGGTATATTTCCTAAATTATTCTGTCAAATTTTACTAGAAACACGTTAAAATTGTCCTCTGAACCTTCTTTAATCAGAATGAAAACTACATGGAGCTTAGTAAAAGGAGCTGATTAAGAAGCGACTATGAACCCGACCTAATAAGGAGTTGACAACAAGAAGGACATTTGCGACTGAGTCTGCAGGGCGATTCTTCAAGTTTCCCATAGCCTTTTGTACTAGCCTCGAATGTTCTAAGTCCTATTTAACGGTCGTAAAACATCGTATCGAACTCATCTTGTCCAATCTAAATGACCTCATAGAATTAAATCTGCATCCCACCAAATCCTTCCCTTTCATTCAATAATTCCTTTGAATAACTTAAGGTTATATATATATATATATATATATATATATATAACCTCCTACCTGTCGTATGTTGAAGAATTAAATCAAAAATGAGTAAACTGATAATGTGATGACTCATGGCAAAATGTATGAATGGGTAAGAGATCGATACAGAACTGATGAGTGGACTGGCAAGTACATCACCGACTCGCCCATAGTTTGACGCAAATTCTGTCACCTTTTTTCTCCCTTGTGCGTGCACATCCCCACGATTAACTCGTTCGGACAGGGAGATGTTTTGATCGTAATCATGCTGATACGTCAATCAATGTCTTAATACAAATCATTGTGATTAAGGTAAAGCCTGACTTGAAAAACGATTAATCTGACGCAATGGAGCTCTCGCATGTGACAGTTTGCAAGCTAAGCAGTTGCTAAGCAATTTATCTATGAAGAATTTCACGAGAGACAAGATGGTGCCACTAGTTTTCTCTGAGATAAACTCCAAAACTCAAAAAAAATCCGTAATGGAGGGGGTATCCCACGCTACCCTGAGAGTCCCCCAAATCGATTGGACTGGTAGATGTTTTGATCAAAATCATGCTAATATGTCAATCAATGTCTTAATACAAATCATTGTGATTAAGATAAAGCCTATGACTTGAAAACCAGAATCAGTCTCCTACTAGTAAGAAACACTGCTTTGAATGTAGCAAGAATAATTTTATGTGCTCTTCCCTTTGTATCAAAACGATTGATCTGACGCAATGGAGCTCTCGCATGTGACAGGAATTTGCGAGCTAAACAATGATACCTATGTACAATTTCACGAGAGACAGGATGGTGCCACTGGTTTTCTCTAAGATAAACTCCAAAACTCAAAATCCCTCAACGTTGAGACCGTAATGGAGGGAGTCCCACGCTACCCTGAGAGTCCCCTCTGTATCAAGACAACTCTCTATGTGAAGATGAGAAGCAAATACATTAGCAGGGATTCCGTGTTTTAAGTTTTGGAGTCCCTCAACAAAGTGGCAATCCTGTTAACATATTGGGCATTTAGCCGATTTGGCTTGGTCCTTTTCTGCTAAATGCGGTCCAAATAGCCATAGGCGCAGCTAGGGGGGTCCTGGGGGGGGGGCCCTGGCCCCCCCAGAGAAATTTCCTAGCTAAGCCCCTACAGCCAAGATACGGATTTTGTGGACCAAAGTTAATCAATGATGACTCAGGAATCGAGGCGCTGCAGTCTTAGTCACCGCGCAAGAGTCAAAATGGGTTTCAATGGAGGAGAGAGAATCTTGTAAAATTACGTGAATCGCCACTGTACTATAACTCGAAAATGTTTGAGTAAGGAAGTTCCATTTTTCAGTTATTTTTGTTATTGGTCAACGGAATTTTAGCGGCAGGTGGCTATTGAAACCTCATCACTTCCTTGTCAAATGACCGCAATCATCAACAAGTAACGTCCCTGGTAAAATTGGCAGTAAAATCTGTGTTTCAAAATACCATAGACCTACAGCCGGCTGTAAGATTTCCAACAGCTTCTATAGCCGGAAAAACTCAATTTCTTATAGCCTTTTATAGCCGATGGCGATTAAGCAACAGCCTGGCGATAAAGTGCATGCTAAACGTTACTAATTACGGATGCTAGGACTTAGTGAGTTATTGGACTACCGCTCTCTTTTTGGGCCGCAGTATCTTGATTTAATTTGCGAGGAAAGCTCCGTACTTTTGAAGGATGCCTGCCAATCCTAATATGTTGGAGCGCCTTCAATTTCGTATGATACATGTGCAATACCTCTGGTGTGAAATAGTTGCTTCAAGCGACGCGGCGGGCGGCCAGCCAGCGCTGAACGCGCATTGGCGCCTACAAACCTAACAGGGATACTTCACGCATTGCGCGATGCGTGAAGTATCCCTGTTAGGTTTGTAGGCGCCAGTGCGCCGCCGCTCCGCTTTGAGTTAGGCTCTAATATTAAATCTCGCGGAGTCAGCGTTTTTCAACTGATGATTTTGAAATGTTTGCACATCCTGCATGTATTATTCTCATTTTAATTGATGAAAAAAATATGTAGTAAAGGAAAATATGGTATGCGTTTTGTAAATATTAAAGTGATTCCGTACAAACTTAAGGATTTACAAAGCACAAAAATGTCTACACAATTTCTTATAGCCTTTTATAGCCGATGGAGAAAAAGCAACAGCCAGGCGATAAAGTGTAAAGCCCGGCGATAGGAACTACAGCCCGGCTGTATAATTTTTTATCGCTTCGTGTAGCCCGGCCGTATGATTTTTTCCACTTTCTACAGCCAGCTATATGATTTTCTATCGCCCTCTTCAGTCGGCTATAAGAACTTCTATAGTATTTTGAAACGCAGCTCCTATCGCCAATTTTTACCAGGGGTTGCAAACTTGGGCTGTGTCGATCGAGGAGTATAACGTAGCCGATTTTTTTCTAACGAAGAAAGTAAGAATATAAGAATAATAGAGGTTAAGTGATAAACCTAACGAATATCAACCTTTTGGCGCGTATACGTAGTATACCGCCTTTGCGATCGTTTCGAACCCTGCTCGATACAATAACCGAGTCCCTTAGTTCCTTACCGAAAAGTGACTACCGCGAACTTCTGAGATTTTCCAAAGCGTGTAAAAAGTTTATTTATCCGTCAATAATTATGATTTAAAGTTGTTTCTCATTCTGGGG